CAGACTGAAGTCAAGAACGATGATAACACATTTTTTATTCCTATTTTCTTCAACATGGTGGGAAATGAAAAAGGGACAACATTCTTTGAAAGGGAGAAGTCAGTGCCAGCCAGTCGACACCGGCTATGTAATGTCACTTCTTTCATTTCCAGCACATTTCAAACAAATAAAGAAGCAGATGCGAGTCAGCCTGGGCTCGGGCACATTCCTTTTCTCCATAGTTTTGTTTTTATTTATTTATTTTTTTGTTAATGGACATTTACATGAAAGGAATCCGCTCACACTCTCCGGCGCGGGAACATCTCCGCGTGGCAAAAGAAAAGAAAGTGGGGGGGGGAGAGATGTGAGCAAAGATCACAGCACAACAATGAACAGGAAGAACAGAGCCTGTCTCTGGCTTTGACCAGCCACACCTGGTCTCTACGCCCAAAGAGTGAACAGGCAGAGAGAGAGAGAGAGAGAGAGAGAGAGAGAGAGAGAGAATATGCTAGGGAGGCTGTAAAAACTCTCTTGAACAAGCTGCTTTTAATGGAAATACTGCAGTTCACTATTAAAAAATAAATTCTGCGCTCCTTTTAATGTAGGGAAAAAACAAACAAACAAAAAAAATCATTTTCTAGCCCATGACACATGACTGACACTTTGGAGTGTTCCTATTTTTTCGTCTGGGACATTTTAAATTCGCCTCTTTGGACACAACCATGGTCAAGGGCAAGTTACGGCCAACGTACACACTTCTACTGTACACTTACTCGCCCCGTAAACACACGTAACATCGTTCGAGATAAGAATACAATCAGATCACATACTCAACCCCCCGCAATAAAGGCCACCAAACTAACAAACGCCATTCACACTAAGCACAGGGAAAGGCATCAGCCATACAGCAACAGTGGCTTGACAGCAATTTCACCAACATAGGCAATTAAGAAGAAGTCTTCCCTTTTTATGGAATACTTTTAGGGATGTCCCACTCCAGATTTCTTGCCCTCGTTTCAGTATGAGTCCTTTAATATTGAGTATAGGCGAATATTAGTCTGATCCAATATTTGTGTGTTTGTAAATAATTTAGCTGCACACTTAAACACAGTAAAGCTAGTAAAACGTGGTAATTTTAGGTAAGACATTCTAAACTGCCAATTTCTTCATGCTACAATAAAATCACTTAATTTTAAGCATGTGCATAGTGTGAAACTGAGTTGATTTTGGGGTTTTGTGGCTTTGGTTACCTTTTGCTGCTTGTTTGCTTGTTTTTAACAGGCCCTTACTCCTAACACTGATTTTGGCAAGCAGTAAAAATACACTTGAAATATATACTGACATTTTGCGATTTTTTTTTTCCCAACTTAGTCATGTTCAATTTCAACTGTGAGCTATGTCTCTTCCTGTAACATGATGCTACCAAGCTGGAAGGGTGAAGGTTAGCACCCTTCCCAGAATCTGCTAACAACAGCTCAACACGCTTGGAGCAGAACACTTACTCCCCATTCTGTTAGCTAACAGATGCTCGCTCATGGCTGTGGCATTGAATGGGTCATCTCCGCTTTTAATAGGGGTCTACATACGGCACTAGAAGCTTTGTTTTTACTTCTGGAGTCTGCTGCAGCTTATTCTGCAGGGTTAGGAAGTTTGAAAATGAGGATATACTGCTTTGTCACTTCCTTCGGCTACCAGGACCAAAGCATTGAAGCAGATGAACCGAAAACAAGACTTCATTAGCTTAGTGTAAGTAAGTGCCGAATAAACTGAAAAAGACTGAAAATGTATATTATTTGCATGAGCCTAACTAGCCTACTTTTGCTTAGACCTTAAAAATCAAACCATCTTGGGAGCCACGACATTTTGTGTAGATTTTGTTGAAGAAACATTTTACCATCTTGGCTGAAAATATGTCTTAATATGTGCTAGATTATAAATGAAAACGCAGGCTTTGTTTGCTCTGCTTTAAGCTCAGCAATAGCCGCTTTTCTCGCATCTCTGGATGCGAGAAAAGCGTCTGGAACCTTTTCTGAAAAAAAAAAAGTAGAATAGTTTTTTGTAAAATATCTCTCAACGTTCATTTTTTTCTTGAGGCTGAAGTCAGCTCTCATTCGCTAGCTGCAAAAAGGTTCATTCATCTCCAAAATATCGATGTTCTTCTTAAATTGTTCTCTTTCCTCTTTTGCTAGCTACTAGCTAGGCGAGATTCTTATCTGCATTGCTATGGTGACCAGCAGTCTGCGCACCAACCTTCAGGGTTAAAAGTTGGTGAATTAGCAGTTATACATTAAATCCAGACCATTTATTGCAAAAACTGTATTAGAACAATCATCAGAGCTTTATTTCACTGCAAAAAAGGTGTTATTTTATTTTTACTTAAAAATTTTATTCTGCTGTGGAGCCGCAACAGGAGCCACATGTTGCCGACCCCTGGCTTAATGCTGAAATCCCAGATGATTGACTTTTGGCAATCATTTCAATAAAACATGCTCAGCGGGTCACCAGTGTCCCTGTGGGGTTCTGAAAGAGTTCACAAAAGGCTGCCAGCTTAACCGCAGACACTCAAACCATTGTGAAAACACACCTCGCTGTCAAAAGTTGAAAATGGCTGTTTTTGGCACCTCTACAATGACCGTGAATCTGAATTAGACCGGGCTTAATATAGCCAATGCATGGTCCAGTAAAATATGCCTGGACCAGCTCTGATATTGATCCTTCAAATCCGATTGGGACATCCCTAAACTTGTATGAGAACATCATTCAGGTCCTTTTTTGCTCCACTTACTGACCACTTAAATGTGATTTTAATGAGAAGGAATCACTACATTTTGTTTGTAACTCTGTAGCCTGAGAAGTCACACCATGCAAAAATTTTGGCTCTTCTTTCATTGCTTCTGTTATCGAAAATAGTTCTCGTAGTGCCTTCGTTCCCATAATCACACTCAAGACTGTGCAAAATAGTCACAAAAGTACTAAAAAGATTGTAAAAGTACTAAAAAGGGGATTGTAAAAGTAATAAATTTACTGATGGAGAAAAAGTTAATGAAAATGTGAAATCGAAGCCTATTTCTGCTGATTATGACACAATTTGATGCTCCTATACAATCACTTGTTTTATGCGGCATTAACAAGTTAAATCCACAGTTTTGGAGATTATACAAAAATAGAAATGACCCAGCGGCTTTATATTCCAGGAATGTATGCAGAAATAGTTTGGTTTTCACATTTTAATGTGTAAGACGTTAGACCTCCTTCCAGGAGTCACATGGCATGTGTGTTCCATTCTGAAATGACAGAGCAACAATCTATGTACAGCAAGTGTCTCCCAACTTAAAGCTCATGGGCTGGAAAAAAGAAAAAAAAAGTGGGACAGTCCTTTCAGGTAGGCCACAGACGGACTTTGGGTTCAAAATAGTCGCCTCAGCACAAGGTCATATATGCATGCTGGCACCCCAGGAATACTCTTCTGGTCTTTTAGCTGAACTTTTTTTTTCTTTTTTTTCTTCTTTTTTTTGTTTGAAGCACACTGCAAATTACAAAGTCCCATAACACAAAGCAGTCTTGCAGATAGGAAAGAGCTTGTTCTACAAAAGAAGAGGCGCGCTATTTCGTCTCATCACAAACGACGTCTCGGAACTGGCTTTAAGTCTTTGACGAGAAAAAGGGAAAGAAAAGGGGGGGAAAAAAGAAGACGTGGTGGCGTTCGGGAAGAAGCCAAATCACCCAAGCCCCGCCCCCTTTTCCAGTTCGCTGCCCAACATTTTCACAGTTCACAGGAAGTGTCGCACGTACGTACACAGACAGACGCAACTTCCCCCGAGAGGGTCACGAACACATTATTGCGAATTAAGTGTGCTTTCGTCAATTTCTGTCTTTTTTTTTTTTTTGTTCCTCTCATTCTTAAAAGGTTTATTTTAAAACAATATCACAACATGCATCCAAAGGAATCATATAAAAAAAGAAACAATCAAACATGATGGCCCTGTTTTTAAAACAAGGCCAGACATTATTCATTTATGTACACCCTGGCAAACACCTGGACAGAGAATCTTATGTTGGCTTTTTAAGAAGAAAATTGGGAGGAGGCTTAGAATGTACAGAGGGAGGTTGGTAGAAAGTTTTTCCTTTCTTTTTTTTTCGATGCAGAGAAAGTACCACCCAAGCTTGAACGGCATGCACCTCAGACCTCAGCTTAAAGGGGTATCCGTCCATAGAAACGCCTTGCGACACCAAGGCTTCTATGTATGTTAAAGAGAAGTTAGAACCATAACAATGGACTCGTAGTTCCCAGCGAAGCAATCCCGATCCACACTGGAGGGTCTCTTAGGGCTGCAGGTCATGAATTTTGCTCTAATCAAACTTCTGCTGTCGAACTCTGCAGCACAAAGTTGTACCTTAAAAAGGAGCTGAATTATAGATGGACTCATTTATCTCTCAGAGCTTTAATGAGCTCTCCTCTAATTATAGTCGGAAAAAGACCAGTTCTGGTGGCTAAATATGGTCAAGTCGCTTGCTGGTGTCTCGCTCCTCACAGTGAGCTGCAGAGAGTGGGTGGCGTGACAGCTGAAAAAATCTCGTTGGCGACCAAGAGACGCTATGGGAACCGAGAGATCTTATGGCATTTTCCTCATCAACAGGCGATGCATCTTCCAATGGGACACTCAGAGTCTCTTCCCATTCAAGTGCCCTCTCGAGCCGAACGTTAACTGCCTCTTCAGTGGCGAGTCATTTGCCGCAGCTTGGGTGAGCGCCGCTGGATAAACTAGCGCATCAAATGAAGATGCTCCCTAGTCCATAAGACCTCTGGAGAGGCTGGAGATCGAGGAGATGTGGAAAATCCATTCAAGGCCTGCAGACCGACCTGACCATGAGAGCGAAAGAGGTGGGCCAGTACAGGGATGAGAGTCTACCATGCTTCAGAGTCACTGAGTAGACGTGCAAGATGAGGGGCAACCTGTTCTCGCAGCGAACTGTTCGGTTGCAAGGTGGAACAGTATGCGTGTTAATGTGTCTGAGTTGAGTTGGGGTTGGGTGAGGGGGTTTCTTTGGATCTGCCATGTTAGTGTTGGTGGGCTCATGGAGGCAGAGGCTGGGTGGGTGTAACAGGAGAGGGCATAGAGATTAAGTTAGTGTGATATAGGCAGACGCTTTCTCCTTCAGCTGCCGCAGACACAGGTGACAACTCCAGCTCCCTGCAAAAGAGAGGCCACCATCGTTGACACTCCATAGCACATAATAGTGAAGTCAGACATCAACATCGCTCCGAATTTTTTGTTAACTACTTGAATATATTAAGTGGGAGCCACATTTGCCCAATCGTTTTCTTTTTCTAAATGGTTCTTTTCGATCAACTGGCTGAAGCAATTCACAAATGAAACTACTTTTGTTTTGTAGCATTTACATATCATTGCTTCCCTGACTGCAAATATTAAAGACATCTCAATGAAAGTAAAGGTGTGTGACTTGATGATCGTTAACCAAATTAAATTTGACCTAAACCATAATTCAAAGTTAGATGAACACTGCTTCCCTGCCTGCCTGTGTGGGCGCTTCAGTCTGCACAGTGATTGGCAGTGATGCAGCCACAACAACATAAACAACCCCTATGGCAACAGATTGTCACTTTTTCAAGATTTTATTTTCTGTCAAAAGTCAGACTTTGAATCTATGATACTGATTTATGGAGGTAAAGTTGCATTCAGTCGGGAGTGAGGTAACTATGGCCACACTGGCCAATCACCCAAACACTGTGGCATGTGCCAGAGTATAGTGCTGTGGCTATGATAGACAATAAATCATTCAAGTAAGATTAGCATTTGCTGGCTAAGTTAAACTAGCCAACAAACTATGCACAAAGAGCTTAAACATCCTGTGGATTGAGAGAGAGAAGGATCAGCTCTGACGGCAAGCTGCTTTCCAAAGCCCGGTTCCACTTGTGTGAAACTGAAGTGAAACACTTGACGTCAGCATCTTTCAATAAAGTCCCTCCCAACTCGAATGCAACTGAGGAAACTCAAACCTGCAAAAAATCTCTCTATCAAGATGACCATCATTGCTCTTTATTTGACCGTCAAATTCATCTAGAAGTTTATATCTAAGTGCATAAACAGATTAACAAAATAACAGCTCATTTAAGAGCAATTTGTATCAATCAAAATGAATTTCCATCCATTGATATGGACAGTTCAAAGTAAATTGAAAATTGCATAAATTGAAAGTTGTTAGTAGTACAGCTGTATAATTCTCTTTTTTGCATCAACAAAACATATAAAACACACATACATGTAGTAACTTCTCTCTGTTCCCTTTCATATAAATAGAAATGCATACCTTCTGGAGGTTCTGCCATAGGTGGGCTTAGACAGTACATATGGTACCCTCGGTCGCAATCATCGCAGAATAAAAGTTGATCCTGTTTGTACACACACACACACACACACACACACACACACACACAAATACATATGTCTCCCAAACTTGCCTAAGACACTAACAAGTAAATAAAGAACACCCAACACTCATCAATTCTGCTCCTAGTGGGTTTGGTGGACTTGGAGGGTTTGGTGATTTCTCTGCTGTCACATACTTCATTAAACCCATAAGTTGATTACCAGGTTTAGTGAGTGTGCTTGAGAACAGAAACCACCAAACCATTCAAGCTGGACTCCAGCCCTCCAGGACCAGAACTAATGACTTCTCATGTGGGCTGTTACAGAGTTCAGTGTGGTGAACAGCACTAACGTCATTCTCGGAGGTGCCACACAGGCTGCAGGACTTGCATTCAATGCATTGCCAGCGGTAGGTTCTCACTGCTGCTGTCATGTTGACTGTGAACTGCAGGCAGGATGGATGACCTAGAAGAATCACAATCCTCATTTCAAGGCCAATCCAGAATTACTATTCATTAGGGTTGAGGGGAAAATTCGATTCTTAGATGCATCGCGATGCGGACGTGGACGATTCTGAATCGATTCACAAATGTCAAAAATCAATTTTCTAAATATTTCATTTATAATGTAATGTTGACGGAACGCAAAAAGGCAGAACTTGGAAGTGCGGAAGTGCAGCGCCCGGATGCTCTGTGGCGGCACATAACAAAAACACATGTGGATGAGCGAGAAATCCGACCGGCACCCTCTGCATTAAAAGCTAGGTTAGGTCAGGAGTCACAACCCAAATGATAAGAAGAGCCATTTTGTCCTTTCAACAAAAATCAAACCACCTTGGCAGCCACAAGATTTAATGTGCAATATGTCTCAGTATGTGTAAATGTCATAGTATAGGCTAAAAAATATAAACGAAAATGCAGATTTACTTCGCTCTGCTTTAAGCTTTAGCTATAGCCACTTTCCTCCCATCTCCACTAGGACACTTTTATAGTTAGTTATATAATAATATAATATAATAGTTTCTTGTAAAATGTCTGTCAATGTTCGGCTGTTTTACGAGGCTGAAGTAGCTTCTTATTCTCCAGCTTCTTGTTTGAATTTTTCCGTTCCGGGAAAATTCTAAAGAGAAGATGACTTCAAACTTTTTAGTGTTTGACAGTCTCTCACTGCAAGTTTAACGTTCCAGGAAACTAACTGCACTGCTTATAAATGCGAATAAGTCCAGTTCTCAGACGTTGAGAACCAGGGCTTTCGCGCTATGTTGCACACTTTGGAGCCAAGATACAGCGTCTCATCTCAAAGATATTTTACTGACACAGCGACCCCCCCCCCTACTCTCTACAACGAGACCAAAACCGAAGTTATAAAATGAAAAAATTGTAAAAGAAAACGGGTAGGATGGCTGTAACGTGCTGCGTGAACATCCTTTGCCACAGGATCTTATGTTACCGTAACAGCGCATTTTATTGCAGATGAGTGGCAGTGTCTCATGTGCTCCAAACAAGAGCAGTGAATGAGAGCCTTCTAGTTCACTTGCCACAACACTTCCATTTGTTTTATTAATAAAAGGTATTGGAAGTGAATTCATTATGAATCATTACAAATACTTTGCTTTAAAACTACCAAGTCCTCACACAGTGAGAAAATAGAAATCCTGTATAGAAAAAAAAGATGCATCAAGATGCATCAATAATCGTTTTATAATCGCATCGCAGCCCTCTGAATCGTAATCGAATCGTGAGGTGCCTAGAGATTCCCACCTCTACTATTCATACAGACCAATATGCATTACATATATAATATACATCAACATTCAAAAGTTTGGAATCCCTTAGATAATAAATTATACAGTGTAGATTGAGACATTAATAAGCTAGACACCAAAATGTAAACCAATAGTTTATTCATAATTTAAAGCAGGGGTCTCAAACTACTGGTTCGAGCTCAAGGCAAAAACAACCTCGGTTTCGATGGCTTCTCAGATAAGCTGAGGAGCAGAGTAACAGTGAGCAGAGGACAAAGAAAGAAACTTTGTCATACAAACTGGAAGTACTTTGATTCCACTGCAGTCAAATGTAACACTGAAGGCAGTTCACGCTTTAACGTGGGTGCTGTTCTTGGTCGCTTTCAGTAGAACAGTTTTAATGTTTCCCCTCAAAAACTATCGGCATTTGAAAGAGTACGTCTACAGTGGTGCTATGGACAATGACTCCATGGCACGCCCCACCTGCCAGTATGTGTGTGGGTTCAGCTTTTTGCCAACTAGATTATTGTTAATATAGATATTAAATAATATAAAGCTGTTTCAACATCTCCAGCTAACAAGGCTAATGTAGTAGTTATTTTCACATCCTTCATGTCTGTATTTATTAATTTGTAGACATTAGCTGCTGTTATCGTACTCTGATAGCTGTGAAGGAATTCTTTTACAAATAATTTATATCATTTGTTCAGCTTGGACTTATTGTTGTGTGTTTGGTGTTCTCCAACCATTCTGGACACACCCTCAAATTTCAGTCTTGGCAACTATGACAAAAATTAATAACAAACCTTTCCATGGTGAGCTTAAGTATTACGAACGCCAGTAGGTTAATAATCGTTCATTGGGCAAGAGCAGAATGTGTTTTACCTGGCGTTTACATATGCTACGTATTATAGGCCTATAAATAGTATTTGCAAAACCTGGAAAAAGTGTCACGCGGTCATACTGTAGACATTCTATCAGCATAATGTGAAACCGCAGTCAGTGCCTGCTTTGACTTCTAAATCAAGATTTCATTACAAAGTCTTTCTGTACAAAATGGATACATTATCTTTGACTCCTGATTATGCATCATAGCCTGTGATAACAAATCCAAACATCTATAATTAATAATGTAAATACTGCGTCAGCCTATAAGGAGCTAAAGGCACACAAATCATTACAATAATTATTTTGTGTGTGGACGGGTCAGCGATAGTCTTTATCATCAACTACACCATCAAACATCATTGTGATCACAAAAGTGAGTATCTACCTCTATGTTTGATGGGGTTATTGCTTGATGGGGTTAATCATTGTTGACTTGATATTAGCTTAAGTTACATGAGCCCTGCTAACGTTCTGCCATTAACTGCATTCATTGTCTAGCTAAAACATAAAAGATCTAAGTTAGACATAAAAATTTGCATAAGTCAGTCATCAGTAAATGTCTGTTATTAATAGTGAACTGTACTCTCAGCTCTTCAGCCTCTTTTCGCATCACATCAACATTGGCCAGCCAGGATCCTAAAAGGCTTACAGCGATTTTGTTGTGGTTGTCACTATTTATTATGTTGTTTTATATTGATTATTATTTGTTATTAATTGAACACTATGTATTTATACTGATACTTCTACTACTAATAATAATAATAAGAATAATAATTATTAGTAGTAGTAATAGTAGTAGTTGTGTCTCACTAAGAACTTGATTTCCCATAATCCTCTGGGAGATCACATGCCTGGCATGCCTCACTCCTCTGTGGACTCAATCTCCCAGGACTCCCTGAGGAGATCACAGTCTCACCACCAACGGCAACCAATCACCGTTCATCCTTGCCTGAGTATTGATGTGTATCTCCTGTATCTGATTTTTGTTACCTGTTTAGTTAGTATATAAACCCAGGCTTTTAGCTTAGCTCTTTGTGAGGTATTGCATCTTTCAATAGAGCTACTGAGCTTTATTTCTTGTTTTGTTGTTTCCAGAATTTTTGAACTGTGCTCGGATTATCTCTGTTATGTTTTTTCTGGTTTTGGCCCTGGCTTGTTTTTCAACTATGGCTCTCTTGGACCCCAGTAAAGTCTATTTAACTGCACGCGTCTGATCAGTCCGGTTGCGTCACAGTGGTGACAGAAGAATTGCAAATAAACATACACTAAGATGCACTAAAATGAGTGTACATATTTATTAAATTTATTAAATTATATACAACCACCTGCCTAGTGGCCCATAGGTCATTTTTGAGACCCCTGATTTAAAGATGTATAAAAATAATAGCATATGTTATTAACTAATCAACTGTAATTGTCTATTTATAGTAATTTCTTGTCAGACTTACTATGAATAGGTATTTAACTGGTCACCACGTTTCCAACAGGAGGCACTCTGGATATTATTTTTATTGTAAGTTTATTCTTGATGCTATGCAGCTTTCTCAGTTATTATGGAATCTTCAGCTCCGCCCATTATCAAAAATTGAACACAGTGATTCCAAACTTTTGAAAACGTAGCGTACAACTGAAGCGAGCATGTGCTGCTTTGGCTGCACCTGATCGGCCGCAGTCTGCGCAGGAGATGAGGTCCTCTGGGCAGCCGGTCTTCTTGGAGCCTCCCAGGCAGAAGTCACAGTAACCGTTGGGAATGACTGAGCCGTCTGCTGCTTTTTTGGCTGCAATACAAGAGAGAAAGCGAGGAGAAACTGAATCCACAGGAGATCATACTTAAAAAAACAAACTTTGAACATTATTCAAAAAATAGAAAAGTGGATGGAAAAAGGGAAAGGGAGGAAAAAAGGGAGAGGAAAAGGATAAGAAAGAAAAGACAAGCAAAGGCAAATGAATGAAAAGGGAAAAAAAGGAAAGGCAGACGTGTCAGTCTGTGGTTAGTATCGTCCCAGCTGGTTTGAGTGCTGGGTTTTCTCTCCATATGTTAGTTTTCATTTCGGCAAGCCTGGGCCTTTCCAGCTCAGCCACTGTAACAGCATGCAGGTGGGGGAGGGGCGGGGAAAGGAGGGGCTCCTCTCCAGCGGGAGGCCCCAGGCTCTGTTAAATATTGTCACAGGAACAGAGGGAGCGCTGGGCGGAGAGAGACAGGTACGCCGCAGGAGGCCACCGGGTTATATCATTAACAAGGGAGACGAGGCCGTCTGCATGCTTCTACACCTCAGCCACTTACACGCCGGCTTCAGCAGACACATGTTCATGGCTGATCGCGTCTATCTCTCTGAGGGGGGGAATTAAAGAGTGACGCAGGACTGGATTAAGGAAGGTGAACATGAGTACCATAACACTGTTTAGGTGAACTAATAGATAATGCGTGGATGGATGTTTGAGCTCCAGAGAAGAGCGAATGTTCATATAGCAGCTCTGCAGTGTAATGGCAGCCACTGTGTGCTGTGCTGCTGGATGATTTGGAGCGAGCTCGGGTCCTCTCCAGTGAGGTCATTAATCCACTCCCCTCTCCAGAGATTCTATCAGTGGGGGGAAGGGTTTGTGTATGTGTGTGTGTTTGGTGGGGGGGGGCTGTTGTGGCAGTTCTTTTTTTTGTGGATTCCATGGGGCTGTTCTGCTCTCTAATCCCCAGAGAGAGCGAGAGAAAGCCTCTGATCAGGATGAGAGGAAGAGAGGACTAGTCTGTGCAGTATTAAAAAGCTGTGATCCATACAGGCTGCACTGAACTCACACTGGAAACGCTGCAGTTCAAAAGCAACGGTGTGCATCATCACAAAACAGACTAAAGCACAAAAGCATGTAGTAGGTATGGCGCTGACCGCGGTGCTGAAACGCCATAGTGTTTCATACTATGTGCTCAGCGTAGGCGGATATATAAATCTCCGCTCACCACTTGAGCCACCAAGCCAATGAGTCTTGTGGCCAAAATGAAGAATTTTGGCTGGAAGTACAGAAACATGTTTATCAGATATGGACCATTTTACCAACTGAGTTCAAACTGTGGTCCCTCATTTAAAAAAAATGTATTCATACTTATAAAAGTATCCAGACTATAGATATTTAAACAAGGTCAGTAAAATAATCCATATGCATTTTATTTACAATTAGCAAACACGCTCCAGTAGCATAAAGAGGTGTGGAGGATAGAGGTGTTGACTTAAAAAAGGAAATCTCTATCTTAAAAATTTACATTAATAATAACACTGTTGTCACATTAAGCCACAATTATAGTTTAAAAAGAAAGCAAAACAATGTCTTTTTGGCCAAAACAGTCGTTTGAATTTGTGTGGTGTGCACCAGCTGCTAAACAGAACTACTAATCCCTGCATCGTTTGTTTTGAGACCCCCCGACTGTGATTAGACCACGTCACATGATTGCTTATATTGCTGAAGGTGAAAATAAGTTGTTATTAATAGTGGACATTTGTAAATGTGAAAAAATCCATCTGGTCTGGTTAACCTCTGCATGTGCTCTTGCATGCAAAACGTCCACCAGATATAAAAAGCTACTCCTATCAATAAGAAATCAGTGCAGCATACCATTGTCCATTTGTGCCCCCTAACCATGCCAAGCCAATGATGCTCAATATCACAAAAGAGAAGAAAGCTGCAGCACTCTTCTCCAGTAACCTGTTTCAGCATGGCAGGCAATGTGGTTACTGCTTAAACCAGCAAAACTGAAACAGGTTTTTGTTACTGTTAAGAAACTTTTAAACTAACACAGTTCTCAGTGTAGTTTGGTAGTCCTTGCTTTAGTCCCGTAATTCTTTCTTTAGGTTTCCTATGAACCACTTCTTGTTTAAATATTAAAACAGCCAGAAAATATAGTACAGCTATGTGAAATAGGACATGGACTACACAATAACACGAAACAAAAATTGTGAGACAAATGTGATTTACTTTAGTGCATATTAAAGCTATGGACGACGTGCTTTTGGGCATTTAAATCATCCAACTTGATCACCACCATAATAGATGCAGTCTAATGGCTCAAGCCTACTTTTGGGGAGTTTTTTCTGCCGCAGTCACCCTCGGCTTGCTCATTAGGGGTCCGGACCTAGATTTCTGTAAAGCTGCTTAGTGACCATGTTTGTTCCAAAAACTGCAAATATAACTGATCTGAATAGAACTGGACTGCAAAAGACAATGGCTAGTACATAAAACACTGTCAGTGAAGACCATGTAAGCTGGTCACGACACCAAGAGCCAAGCACACGAGGCAAACTATGTTATCAATCTGCGAAAACTGATCAAATGCTCTATATAAGGAGCAGAGGAGGGTCTTCCACTGCACCCTGAGTAACACAATGTGCCTCTGTCCATGGTCCTGAAAGAGGTCTTTTGACTACACAGGTCTTCTGACTAGACAGCATGTGAGGAAATGCTTCTACTGGAATAATCACTATAATGAAGTAAGACACTACTCCATGATTAGAATATGTTTCTCCTATAGCAGATCGCAAAGTGGATCTAGAGGTACTAGAGCACTCAGTTAACCACTCCAGGAGTCAGTATTCAAATACTGAAAGCATTAGAGTATTTATTACACTGCATCATAGAATGTAGTGAAGAAAATATACAGACCAACAATTCAGTCATGTTAACTTTAAAGGGGACTGTGAGGTGCATCAGTGTTGCTTGTATTTAAGGTTAAGAAAGTATTTATGTTATACTTTGCTACTACTAATGTACCTTAATGCGAGCCTGTCACCATGGACGTGTGAGGAGCATTAACACAACTACTCTAGCTAAAACCAAAAATAAAAAAGAGATTTCTATTTTCTTAATGCTTTCTTTAAATTTATTTAACATGTCAGCACATCAACTGAGGAGAAAAAGGTGTACATAGAACATGAGTTATCATCTACTGTTGCACTGGTTAGCTCTAGTGTAAGTGAAAGTCTAATGAAAATAATAAAAAAAAAGATACACAGAATATGGGACTCCTAACCTGGTAGACCACCAAGGTCAGATAAACAGTGCTTTCATCTTTGATCATCTCAGATTCCAATCTGAACAAATCCACAGGTGTTTCTGTCCATCCTTCCACTATGAGAGGACAACTTAACACTAACAGTCTGAAAGGATGTGTAGCTGACAAAGAAGCCTGAGAAAAGGAAACGGATACAAAAGAACATCATCTGCAAACCAAACAAAGAAGCTGCTGGTGTTCTCAGAACAATGGACTGACCACCCCAGAGTCCAGACCTCTACATCACTGAATGTGTTGGGATTAGTTGGATCATGAGAAGCTGAAAATGCAAACAACTTCTAAGACTGAACTTTGGAGGTGTGGGAAAAAAGCCCTGCCGATTTCTTTCCGAAAAACTGAAAGCAAAAAGAAGTGGACACATTACTGAAACAATTAACATTGGTTTTAGTTGGTGAGGCTTTTGCGTAATGGCTTTCTGAATGCAAATTCGTTAAATAAAGGGTGGTCTCTGACTTTTGCACAGTAGTGTACAGCTCTGTGAGTGGCGGTGAATGAGTTTACCATGTCTGTGTATTATATTTATTATTTTACCCATTATATTGTTATTGTTCAGTAGGTAGAAAACATCATGATGTAAAAATTAATTTTGCTCCAAATATATCAAAGTCTAGGTTAACAAACAGATGGCAGCTTTAAAGTCTGCATTTAAAGTAAGATGATTCATATAGAGGAAGGCAGAGGTGTGGAGGATAAGGTAAGTGTGCAGGCAGCAGTGGAGTGAGCAGGGACTGCGGTACACTGTAAATAAAGCAGCGAAACTCTCCACGGTCTTCACACCGAGAGCACAGCTTCTAATCTCTATAATTAGTGCACGAGTGACGGAGGAGCGCTCATATGTTCAGAGCTTGAACTACCGTACACCTATATACAGTATCTGGTAACGTTACTCTAAAAATGGCATCTCTCGCCCTCCTTGCTCTCTCTCTCTCTCTCTCTCTCTCTCTCTCTATCTCTCTCGCTCCCTCTCTCATCCGCTGGTATATACTGAAATAATTGGAGCGACACCTCCAGTACTGTATAGCGTGTGATCCACATTAAAATGCCATAGCAACAACATAAAAAGGGACAAACCGGCACAATGAAAGTTAAACAAAGGAGCGTGTGCTACATGGAGTGACAAGAGTCTTGAGTAAACATTATTGGAAGGAGAAGAAATGAGGGAATGTGATAAGGCACACGAGAGGAATTCTCTGGATTATTGAGCGAAGGCGCCGGGATGCTTCAAAGGCCACCGAGAAACATGCTTCTTTACGCCTAATCCTAACTGCCTTTTCATGGAGGAGGGAAAAAAGGCATGCGAGTGAAAATCTGTTCTTTTGTCCTTCTGTCTTTTATTTCATCTCTCGACTGCAGACAGCGCTCAAGAATCCCCACGGAGAAGCAGCGAATGTGCGAGCACACATGTGCACACACAAACACACACGTTCACAGCTTAAACGCGAAACGCTGCTTTTCCTTCAGCCCCCGTCTGTCTCTGCATGCAATACGCAGGCTAAACACACAGACACGGGAAAACATACAGCCTCGGACAATGATTCAGCAGATCCTGCTGCATAAAGCATGTTCAGAGCCGCAGCCGGGCTGCCCTCTGGCCTGCCTGACTGAAAAACACAGAAAAAAGCAGACAGCAACAGTTACGTGCCTGTGGCTGTGTGTAAAGTCTGCAAGCCACCGGCACTGAGAGCTCTGTTCTTTAATACAGAGGGGTATAGAGAAACAAACAGA